AAATCAGGCAAAACACTAACCACTGATTCACACACACGTTCAGGTTTATTGGAATGAATATCTTTCATATTGATTTTATCATAAAAGGAATGAATAATATTTCAATGTAAAGCATTTAAAAGATAAGGTTAAACAAAGAAATATAAGATGAAAGGGGCAAAACATAAGGAAGAAATAAGAAAGTGTTACAATTAATTAGAAAACCATAAAAACATGGCAAGACACGCTAAAAACCTTCGTTGTATAAGCTGAAAACTTTTCTTCATCAGACTCAGTAATCCAGAATTTTATCCTAGGATCACTTCAAGAAAAGAACTTTCATGATAAGAAACATTGTTCGGTTAGTTACTGCTAAAGTAGAATCCCTGATGCCCTTTATCATTTACCTTGACTTTTTATAGCATCCAGAACCTTTATTTCACTGCACAATTACATTGAATTATTTGTCTTTTACAGTGATTCCTCCAAAAATTCATTTAAGCAGTATGCAAATGGACTCTGTTTGGTGGTTGCATCAGAAAAGCCAAAAAACATAAAACCTGTTTCTTCCCCAGCTCCAGAATTTAAAGCTCAAAATCCAGCACGCATCCACAACAGGTATAAAAATTCAGTCTTGACAATATTTAATCAAAGAACTCAAAAATGCCAAAATACCAATAAATCAAATTCTTAAGAATCAATATCNTTTCAAGACCTCGTAACAAATAGACGCAAATTCCAGAGTACATATACATAACAAAGAAGAATAATGGAAATCATAAAATGCAAGTGAATGATATCTATTTGCGCTGATATTTACTATCTACAATGCACTTAACATCAAGAAAATAGATTCTACAATAAATAAAAAGAACATTTACATGAATTAGTACCTTGTAGACTTTTGTCTAAATCCCTCAATAATGAGTACTTTCTTTGCAAAATACTCGGCAATGCTTCCAAATCTACTTAAAAAAATTTAGCCATCACAACAATTCAGGAACCGTCGAAAAATTCAACTCATGAATTCAACTGACACAATGATAATATAAAGAAACCCTGGAAGCTATAGATACAATACAAGTGCTAATTTTACATTCTCGATCTCCTAATTAACCAACTCAAGAAAATTAAGAGCATGCAATAAAATGAATAACATTTTTTTAGCCAAAATTAATAATTTCACGATGTGAAATAAAAAAAAAAAAAAAAAACCATTTTAGTCCACCTGTAAATTTTTTAAAAAACTATGGCTTCAAAAACAAAAACCGCAAATTAGTAAACATTGATATATACGTAGAGGAAAGAGGGTACTTACTTGCTTGAAACTCATCAAGGAAAGACATTTTTTTCCCCTAGGAAGAATTTTAGAATTTTTGTAGCATATGGATGATTTTTGTTGAACCCTGGAGAATCTTCCCGCCACCAGTGAATAAAAATGGGGCCTGATATAGGTTGTACATAATTAAAGAACAATACGGGCTTAGTTTACCAATTTCAAATTTAAAAACTTAAGTTTAAAATTTCAAATTTTAAATATTTTTAAATT